TCAACCTGGGAGAGCGTTGTGAGATACGCCATCGGGGAGGCAGGCCCTGTCCGAGCCGCGAATCCCCGGTCCTCGAGAAGTCGACGTGACGAGACAGTGCACCACACAGTGCTTGCGTCGACTGATGCGTGTCGCAGCGTTTGCTCGACTTCGTTGCTCACATGGATGATGGACGCATAGCAAGAAGCTGATGAGGTCCTATGTTGTGCACCGGCGACATCACTTCCGCCGTCGGTCTCGACATGGTGACGACCGATATGGTGTAGCCCGATAACCGTCTAGCTCACAGTGCGAAGTAACATCTTGGCTCCTGATAGATCTGCGCGACACTTGCGCATGTGCTTTCCATCCGGAACGCGGGCTAAGGCTGCCCAACACGGCCTGGAGGTGAGTGGAGCGTGGAGAGAGGTCTAGACGCAATGTGGTCAGCAGGGAGTCGTATAAGTTTCAAATTGATCGCTATACAGACATCTCTTCAATGGGCCATCTGTCTTTGACAAGAATTAACCCGCCGTAAATGAGCGTCTCACCCACAGTTGGGATGTCGCTCAATCATATGCTGATTGTGTACAAGCCGAAGATCAAACAGGTTCTCCTCAGCAGACTCTGACAGCCCGAGAAAACGTTACTGGAAGATTTGCATCAGCTTTGCAGGCTGTGTATGCTGCAGAGAAGTGAGAAGGGTGCTTACCGCGTGACACAGCTTTCTGAGCGTGAGACGCAGGCAGCGTCGCGTGATATCGGTCCGAGAGGCTCCTGATGACCATGAGAATCCCTGGTCAGCACAGCACACCCATGATGATATCGATATCCAAAGCTTACTGAATGCCTTGTATTCGCAAGCCAAGGGCTGACCATTGGAGCTGCGCCAAGCTAATAGATTCGCCTAGCAGCCTGGCGCATTTACGAGGATAACTTCACTATCCGAAGGTATATCGTAGCTATCTACTATGCATTATTTTGAGAAAACAAGTAAGGAATATGCTGATGGTACCATGCGACGTTGCGATTCCCCCTGGAATCGGTATCTTATGTTCGAGGTGGCAGGAGTGGATAGGAGCCTAATAGACGCGCACCCTTTGGCGCCTTGCCTTGCGCGCGAGCTTTGAGACCCAGTGCACGAACTACAATGTTATTTTATGTTATAATCTCGCCTGCGAAAGCTAACGACGGTGTGGATAAATGGCGTTGCAGCGCTATGTACAGCAGTTTTGACTGCCCCACGTATCTTCTCCTCGGGCGAACGCTAAGCTCGCCATTACCGAACACGTGTTCAGCGTCAGCTCGTGGAGCGCGCGCTTATGTCAAAGCGTCGTATCCGGCGCCAGCGTGGCGTGAGAATTTCACATAAAAATTGTAACCTTATCCAGATTACGTTCCTTACATCAACTTAGGATAAGGCGAAAATCAAGCCAAGCAAAAGAACTTAACAGGGACTGAATCCGGGATTTAGCAGCAGACAACTCCAAAGAATTATACCACTACCGAGCTAATCTTCGATACGTCCGTAGCATTTCGTATTGACTGTAGATTTTCGACCTGAACGGCGGTCACAGGTCACAGGGGCCTCAAATCCGCCGCTTGGAAGTCTCTGTCACGGGTCACAGAGGGGCTCGCCGGTGTCTATGGGTGAGCCAAAAAATTTGGGCCTGCGACGCACCCATAGGAAATCCTCCAAAACTACTGGTCGGCCGCCGTCGCTTTGCGGCGGCTGTCACGGGTCACCGAGGCCTCTGCCGCTGTCGCCGCTACGGCTGTACACGGTCACAGTCACACCCGCCGCCGTTCAGGTCGAAAAAGTACAGTATTCTCTAAATCACAATATAGTTACTGGTGCTGTAGAGATAAGCGGAAATAAAGTCCCAGCACTTGCTACACTACCGCTACAATTATCTTGCAAGGTCCTTTGCAAGACAACGGGACCTTGGGGAAACAGTGTCCAAAAAATGGCAGCGTCGACTGCGGCCAAAGCCGTATATACACAAATTCCGCTATGCAGCAATGATCTTGAACCGCCATTCGGTGGGGTTTTTTCCTTCAGCTGTAGTACGAGACATGATTAGAGGCACCCACGAGTCGACAGCCGCACAAAACGCACGGCGGATGAAATACATCTCGGGGGTGCTATCGGCCGGCACCTGAACTGTGATGTTTCCTAGAGTAGGGTCGATGTTGCTGGCGAGAACGACTCCACTGTGGAAGGGGTCATTACACAGCAGAAATTGTTTGATAGGGCCTGGGTGTGCTGGGAGTCCAGAGGCGTTCCTGCCACGGATATGACGTCGGTGTGCCATAGAAAAAGATGTATATCACACACCATGCAATAAAACCCTCTCCGCCCGCCGTCCACACCGTGTCAGTGTTTGGGATAATTATATTGGGAGTCGTATCACGGGGCGCTATATGGAAGATGTCGCTGCTAGCTCCCTCGACATCGCCGACTATAGCGACCATATCAGCAACCGTGCTCAAGACAGTGTATCTGGCGGATACATACTTGTAACAAAGTATGAACCCGGCTCGACATCAGGTACGACATAATCCACTGTGCCTAGGCGGGGATCCACGTTTTCTGCGAGATTGGCGGTGAAGTCGGCCATACCCACGGTCGTGTTGCGGTATAGATCGATACGCGATATGTTAGGGGCTCTGCGAGGGACGAGCGATACATTCCTAAGGCCCACAGATATCAGCATCCAGGATGAGCTCGAGCTTATCCTCAATACACACCAGATCACCGTCTCTGAGTCGCCAATAGTCAACACCTCACCAGCCTCTGGAGTCATTGGTGTCAAAGGAAATATAACCCCTCCTAGTGGTTTCTGCCATTTTGATGCGGGCATGCAATAGGCCAGGCTGGACGAAATGCTGCCCCCGGCTATAACTGTAGACAGTGCCAGCAGAGCTCGTAAAGAGATCATCCTTCCTGGTGTCGTTAGGGGATTGTTGCTGTTTACAAGCGATCCTAGCACACAGAGAGAGCTATACTATATAACGTGCGTTGCGCGCAGCTCCCATCTAGCGGGAGAAGGAAGGCTGCGCACTTCTAGGACCCTCTACCCCTGTGGTCACAGCGGCGCGACTCGGATCAAACTCCAACGGGGATTTTATGCCTTCGTGCTGCAGTCGTGGAACAACACAGCGGTTCAAGGCATGCATGATGATCTTCCGTTCCCACACAGGTCCAAAAAGGAGTACACTGTAAGAAAACCCTGTCCAACGGATATAAGCATCTCAAGCTGTCTTTCATTGGTCAGAATGAGTCGCATGGACACGTACTAACGAAAATCACTCGTAGGTAATTTCCACTGCTATAATAACATGAATATGTGCCGTTGATATTTAATAGGGAATTTGCAAAGGCGCACTACCCAGAAGCAGACGTCAAGGGCATAATTGCCCGTTAACTGAAGCCAGCGCCGGAGAAGACTACAGGTACAATGAGCACGCACGCTTACCAAGGAACAGATCGGGGAAATAGCGCCTTGTCAATATAGTACATGATTCCAGATACACTCGGCTAGTACCAGGGAATGCGCCTTCAACTCACCACTCCTGAGTAATACCTGCTGCGCAACCACACATGGACCGAACACTCCGAGTTATCCGAGAGAGGCTGCAATAGATAGAGATGGGTCTTACGAGCACATTAATCTGCGCGAGGCTCAACTGCTTGAGGAGACGTGATCTTCATGACGCGCAGACTCCACATGTTCGGAAAATTGTGGCAAACTGTCTGCGAACGCGTTTGGAACACCTTCACCTCGCCTCAACTAGTTTTCGATCGTATCCGCGCGTCGCCACCGGCTCCTGCGCCCGCGCGTCGTCGGGCCATTTCTGGACGCTTCGACCTGGTTTTACTGGTTGAACATCCTGAGATTTTTAAAAATTGCAGTGATGGCTCGCTAGACGGTGCGTTAGCTACGGTTTACTTAGGCTATATCATTCGACTCACTGCTCCCGTACTATAGGCCTCCAACTTGCACGCGTGCGTGTCATCTTCGAGTTGCTGCCCCAGTACGGCATTCTTCCGCACCCCTTACTGTATGTCGAGTGGTACACGCCTTTCCTGCGGGTTGACGGCATTAGCCAGCTGTTCCAAGTCAGCCGCTCGACGCGGAACCGCCGGCCAAATGCCACGATAATCTCCGCCGACCGCGCCGTCGGTGTATGCCATCTGCCAAGACAGTGTGGAAAAGAGATAAGCAGGGATTGGACATCTGAGAATATTCCTGATAAGGCGAGCTTGTTTTATGTGAACCCATACCTGTCTATAGACTTGTTCTCGTCGAACACGGCGCCATACTACTCACGGCCGCGTGCACTTATATAATACAAGCCGTTTGTTTGTTTTTAGCCAGCTAGGCGGACTACCACAACAGACCCACTATACCCACATCCGCACGGGACCAGACTCAGCTTCGAGGGCATCTCAGACCGGTTGG